TGTGTGTTGTTAATAGGGGAAGGGGGGGGGGGGGGGGGGGTATGCCTTTTACACTTGTCCACCAGTGCTAAATCGGTTCAATACAGGATGGTACAGGAACAAAGGCCATCTCACTGGAATTTTGTGGGTTTGAGCATTGTTCCTTTGCCCATTTAATGGACCTTCTGGTCATTGCGGGAGAAACCAGCCTCATGTCTGATCTATCAGGACACATCTGCTGTCTTTCAGCATAGCTTGAGATGGTAGCGAGATCTCTGACTCGCAGTAGCTAAGCTCATCCAGAATTTCCATGGATCGGACTGACAGTGAGTTAGGCCTCCCCTGAGGTTCCTGAGCTGTGGCTTGGAGGAATGCAAGTGTTTGAGACTCAAAGTCCCAGCCAGTCGTGAAGTGCCCTGTGGTTTGACAGCGTTGCTGCTCTGAATCTAACTTTTTTCCCCCCCTTTTTTGAGTGTATTTAATGAAATAACTGTGCTCCTAGACCTTAAATGCTGGAGGTTGCAAGTGAGAGAGGAACAGTGGGGGGAAAAACTCTGGTTATACCCAGGTTTCTCTCTTCCTTTCAGCATTTGCTTTCTGACTCTGGCAAGGTGGACCTATGGGCTGACCCAGTAAATGGCACTTCTTATGCAGTGGAGGTCATGACTGGGAAACAAACCTCCTGCAGCTGCAATGAACCCCCTCAGATTTGCTTGGAAGGCTTAATAACTATTTCCTTCCCCTTGCGAGTGGATCTTATCCCTGAGTCCCAGCACGGCAATTCATTGACATCGTCGCTTGCTGAAGCCAGGCTAACATGACGGGTTTATGGTCCATTTTATGGCAATGCGGGTTTATGCTAATATACCATGGGGGAGGCACCTCTTAACACGGATCGTACTGTGTTAAGATCATTGTTTTGTATTCCTTTGTTTAATGACTATATGCATGTGTTCCTGGGAGCACTGACCCAGTCCCCTGGAAAGTCAAACAACTGGCAGAATTCCTGTTGATTTTAGCTGAAGAGGATCTGAGCATGACCCAAACTGGATGCCAGACAGAGCAACAACATGCTACCAACACTTTCCCCTGCATTAACGACAGAGGCTGGGACAGGGCCATTTCATAGGTGTGTCAAAACACGTGGCCGAGTGGGCCTGGGAAGGAATGCATGCATTTCTCTAATTGGGTGAGGGGAGACTGATGTAATGATTCAGAAATCAGTCAGTTGGTTCCCAAAACAGGGCAGGCGTTCAGGTTTCAGTGCGTTTTGCTCCTGGGCAGGGACATACTGTTCTAGGCGGGTGCCAAGCATGTACTATGCCAGCATTTGTGTGTGTACTTAAGGCTTGATACTAGAAGAAAAATATGTACCAGGGCTTGCCCTGTGTTGCCTGGATGATTGCTATGCTGCTTTTTAAGCTCTCTTTTGCTTGCGATTATGTTGTTGCTTCTGGTGCCAAGAGTTCAGTTCCCAGCAAGGCCAGATTCCTTGTTGCTGAAGAAAAGGCCCTTTTGGGCCGGCATGTCTGTTGATTGTCTGCTCAAAGGAAACGCTTTATCTGATCTATGGAACCAAAGCCTGAAATAGCTTGAATGGAATGTATTGTTCCCTGCCAGGGCTCCAGCCAGTTTCAAGGAGTCATCCATGTGTTAAACTATAAAAAGAGCTTGAGTGGCACAGGAAGAATGGAGCAAATTGGGTGTAACTTTTACATCAGGGCTGGGCTGGGCTGGGTGGGAGAGAGGTGCCCAGGCACTTTGGATCTACGCCCTGGAGAGAAAAAAATATTCTCACGGTGAAAAGATAAGTGGCCAAGCCTAGATCTGCCCTGCAAACTCTTCCTGTGTTAGCCCTGTCGTCAGCTTAGGACTGGAAAAGTTTGCCTGGTTTGTTATAAACCTCAGTGACCCAGGGAATATCTTTAGCTAGAGAAACCCAATAATGTGTACAAGCGCCCCTATAATCCCATCCCTGATTGTAGGAGCCAGGTGTGTGCAGAGGGGAGCTATGACCAGCATAGGTGTGTCAGCAAAACTCCCTAGTGTGAATGTGGTTGCACTAGAAGACTCTGGTTTTACTGGTATGGTTTTGTTTTGCTCAGGGAGTGACTGGAATCAGCCGTCCCAGCAACAGTGCAGTTCAGCTGGTGCAAGCTGTATCTTTTTGTAACCCTGTACTGGCATGGGCTGCTGGTCTGATCCTACCACAAAAGCATTGACCTGGTTTAAAAGAGCAGCCCTAAGGGGTAGTTTGCTTGTCTTGTCCTATGAGGGTTTTAGTGCTTGGAGAAAGGCATGCAGAGTTCAGGTGACAGCACAACCTTTCCCTGAAAAACATCCCGAGTCCTTGTCTGCCCCTGATTGAGGAAGAGGCCGATAAGCAGTGTTCCTCTCTGTGCTTTTTTCCCCTTGTTTCAGTAGTTGGAAGCTATTGGTGGTTTTGCATCTCAATTTTTCCTTGGCAGGGTTTAATCATGTCCCTGGAGCATTTTTGCATCTTGAACCTGGCCTCCCTCTGATCTCATTCCCTTTTTGCCCAGCCTTGATGCGGTTCTACGCGGGCATCTTTGAACATCTGCCTGCCATTGCAGGTAGTATCCCACCTCCACTCCTGCTTGCAGAGCCTTCGGGAAGAGCGAGGGGGTGATTGACCCTGCGCTCTCTTCCTGCTCACTGCAGGCAGGATGGCATCTATGCGTTCTTCCTGAGCTGGGCTGGCAGCATCCAGAATGCACTTTAAGCAGAGCTGTTAAATAGGCTTCTTTGTGCAGGGACTGCCTGATGGGATCAGACCCAAAGGTGTCTGACCGTCAGTGATATTATAGGCCTGAATTTAAATTGTGCTGAGGCCTCCAGGTGAAGTGGAGATCATAGAAAGATTGGGCTGGAGGGAACCTCCGTCATATAGTCCAGCCCTCTGGTCGAGACAGGACTAAAGCCTCCCAGCCCCAGTGTCTGTCCAACCTGCTCTTGAGCATTCCCAGAGATGGAGACTCCACCACCTCTCCAGGTGCCTGTTCCAAAGCTAAGTCAGAAAGTTCCTCATTTCCAACCTCAGTTCTCCCTGATGTACTTTGAGGCCATTGCTCCTAGTCCTGTCCCTTATGCCCACAGAGAAAAGCTCATCTCTATCTTCTCTGTTATCGCCCTTCAGGCATTTGAAGAATGTAATCAAGTCCCCCCTCAGTCTTTTCTTCTCCAGACTAAATAACCTGGGTTCTTTCAGCCTTTCCTCTGGAGTTGTTCCTGGCTGATGGAAATTGGGTCAAAGGGGCTGCATCTGCAACTGGGTTGCACTCACAAGGCACTTTCCCCCTCTTTGCCGTATCAGATTTGCTACCAGCTTATCGCTGGGCTCACTCCATGTTCCTGCTTTCCAAGGACCTGCACTCCTTGGCCCTCTTGCCAGTTCAGGAGTGGAGAGGCTGGTGTTTCACACAGGAATCTTGCCTTTTATTCTATGGTGCGGGGTCTGATCCCAC